CTAGATTTTTGTTATGTATGGCTATTACTTTTCAATAATTTTCTCAAATCAATTCGTAGAGAAATCTTTGGAGATATAGTCACTGATTTTTATTTAATTTATTTAACAAAAAAAAAAAAATTATATATATATAATTTTTTTATATATATATATATATACTAAATATTCAATTTCATTTTGCGCCACACGTTTCAAAAAATTATAAAATTCATAAAAATATAAATATATAAAATTTGCATTATTAAAGATGTCGTCCTTTATTTTTTTTTATTTTTTTTTGATACATTATGATTTTTAGTAAAAATGGACCGATTAAAATTTATTTAATCATGTAAACCATAGTAAATATAGTAAAAAAAAATATTTCTAAGGGTAGACTTAAGGTGTAAATTTCGAAAGTTAATGGGTACCTATTATTTTTTTTACCATTAAATTGGGAATAAATTTCGATAACCAGTTTTATATATAAATTACAACTAAAATATACTCTAAGAAATAATTTTTTTCTTACAAATAACTTGATCATTACTATATATTTCGTACTATTTTTAGAGTTCATATAAATAAATAAAAATGTAATTTGTAAATTTTTTATCAAAAAATAAAGGATAATATTCTTAATAAATCACACTGTATACTACACAGTTGTTACATATTTTGTTTATATTTTGATGAATTGATTTTATGCCTTAAAATGCCTCTTGTGAATGGTTGATCGGCAGAATTTTTGATTATTTCATCGAGAATTTTTATCTTATACAGAAATTTTATTAATTTTATTTCATCAGATTATAAGGATATGAATTTAATATGTTTCTATGAAAAAACGAAAAACTAATTTTTTTAGTTTTAATACATTAACATATTATCGCATCAATTATAAATATTATATTAAACCATTGTTTAAATAACTATTTATTCAATTATTTTTATTATATTTTTTATTAAATCTGAAAAAGTTTTCTGTGTGATTATAATATCATAATTAATATTTAAATTAAGTAAAATACAGTAACATTTAAGTATATTCTTGGAATCTCATGTATCAAATATGAACAATTTTTATAAATTAAATAATACTCCAGTTTTTAACCTTGATAGCAATTTTAATTTGCGAGATACTCAATTTTAAGTTAGGAAAAATGAGTGATTTAATAGTAGTTCAATTAATAATAATAAAAATAAAAAGCTAATTAATTTATTAAGATTGTTTTATCTTTATGACTGATATACATTTTTGTTTGGCATGCATTATAATTTTCATATTCCTGACTTCAAGAAATCATTGTACAATTGATAGACATAGGGATTTTAGATAAAGTCTTGTCTTAAAAGTATGTATATAGTAACTATTTACAAAATAAGACAAGATCATCTGCTAAAAATTATTAAATGAAGAAGGTCAAAGATACGTGCGCGTATAATATTAGACCAAGGCGAAAGTTATAGAAATTTACACTTGTTCATTGATTGCAATTTCTGATTGTACTGATGAAAGATATTAATTCTCATAAAACATTAATAACAATTATATGATGATATTTAAATAACGAATTTTTATGTATTTAAACCAAGTAAACATCATAAACAATATTTAAAAATAATAATCAATGCTAATTAAATATGGTTTTCAGTATGTAAGGAAACAAGTTTCTATTGCTCTCGTTGTTTGTAATAATTTATATGTTAACTAACTTACTGAACATTCTATAAATACATTTTAAGATCCTATAATTTACTTAGTCTAAAAATGTATAATTAAAAAAAATTATTTATTACATTGACCTACTGGAGTATCTAAAGGGTAAACTAGAGAGTTCAATTTTTTAATTGAAAAAATATTTTTCTTACAAAAAATGAAAAATTAGTAAATTATAATTGTTATTATATATTATTAATTATTAATAATTATAAATTTATTGAATGTAAAAAATTAATTTTATTTTGATTGTGTATAACTAAAGCATGTTGATAAAATTGAATACAACTATTTTTACATTGAAATTATTTCCTATAATTTAAAATTAAAATTCAATATACAAGGTGCTTCGATATATTTTAATATGAATGGTACTAGAGATACATTGAAGTAGATATATAATACTCCCCACTTTATTAGTCTTCTATGCTTGGATGTATGCTATTTTAAACTTTTAGTAATAAATACTGGTTATAAACTATTCAAAATATGCTTAAAATTACTATCTATTTCTTTAACAAATTTTATCTGTGAGAGTTTATTGGGAAAAGTCTTTATCAGTCAAAGAATTTTGTTTTTTTGCTTTTGAAAAATATGTATCTATAAAATAATAGGACCATTTAAATACTAAATAGCATTAAAAATCTTCTTAGATTACTTTAAAAGCAACAAGTTTTTTATTTCTTGTAAGTTTTATCGAAATAAAATGTTGATATACAAGTTCGTGGTATGTTATTGATAAAAAAATGCACGTTTTCAAAGTAACTTAATTGACACACAAGTTTACTATAATATTTTATGTTAACTTTTTAAAAATTCATTTGACTATAACTACGAGTTATCCGTAAAAAAATTAAGTATCATATTTCCTTAAACAATAAATAAAAAGATAAAATTAAATTTAAAATGATAAATCGTGCATTTAATGTAATAAGAATCCTGAAAAGTACAAAATTAAGATAGTAAAGAGATCATGATGTTTTATTTTTGTTACTGAAAGACCTTGTAACCAGTTTTGTAATATAAACATTTATTTTTTCTTTTTTTTTTTTTTATGTAAAGACATTATTTCCTTGTAAATTTAAATACCAAATGCGTAGACCAATCGTCTACCGGAATCGTTTGGGCATTTCCGGCGTGGGAAAATGAATAAGTTGTGGTCATATATTAAAAAACTAATTATTATTTTAATTCTTGATGACTGCTCAATTATATGTCGTTGATGCAAATGGTAAACATAATAATTAAGAAAATCATAATGTCAACAAAATTTTTTTACTATATTAAATAAATATTATCACGTGGTTTTGTCGTTATTAAGACTATATATAACTCTTGTAACTATGTGGTTGTTTTCATTAAGAGTAGGTTAGCTTAAAAATGCATATTTTTACGAGAGTAAGTATGTATCAATTTTACCATACTTTTAGTGTTTACATAATAGTTTTGCCTATCATTTGGTTTATCTCATTTAGTACGTAAACAATAAAATTGACCTTCTCTTTCACTTGTCGTTTAAAATAATTGCTTTTAATTACTTTTTGATATTGTAAAAATTTATTCTATGTTTATTGAATTGATTTTATTAAAAGTTTATTATATTTTATTGCTATTAGCAGTAAAACTATCCAAATTATACGTATACAGTTTTATTTTAATGAATTGATAATTGACAACTCCGTAATTTAGTATATATATTTGTACTGAGACTTGGTAACTTCCTGATAATTGTTTCATAATTAGCGATGGAAAATATCGAATAGTAATTCTCGAACTATTCGATAGATGTCCACAATTCGAATTATCCGACTATCGTTCAAAAACTATTCGAATAGTAAAAATATTCGATAGTTACACAATATATTCGAATAGTTTTAAAAACTATTCGATAGTCTATGGCTAAAAATAAACTATTCGGTTGTATAAACACAATTCGAATAGTTAATCGATGGTTTAAAATATTCGAAAATGCCCATCACTATTCATAATGGTGTAAATATGCAATAATATATGCAATTTTTTATATACCGTCGTATTTAGTGTTGGCACTAGACATTGTGGAGCCCAATGCAAAACAATTTTGTAGCTCCACTATATTATTGTTTTTTACATTGAATATTGACTAACATTATTTGACACATCGTTTAGCTTTCTTAGAAGACTTACTTTTTGTGCCGTGACTTGTCTCAAAATAAAAATAAGGTATGAAATATTTTGTTAAAATAAAATTGTTATTTTAATGAAAACAATTTTATTACAGGAAGACGCATTGATTGAAAAACAGTTTGTTTTGGTACGCTTTTTAGTGATGGTCTAGTAACCATATGATTTATAGAGTTATTAATATAATAATAGTACTACAATGTCCATCCTGCACGAGCAATTAAGTAACAATTAAATTAATAATGCGTGTAAATCTTACGGAGAAAATATTTTGCAGTCACTCTCGTCGTTCAATAATAATAAAATAGTTCATAAAGATTTAACTGTAACTTAATCTTGAACTATATTTCGATTTACTTTTTTATCGATAATCCAATGCCAGATATTTAGAACAAGGTGTGATCTCTTTGTTTTTAAAAGCAACGTGAAACCTATGAACTACGAGATTAAACAATATCTTCGGTAATTGCTCTAATTATTCAAGTTTTTTCTAACTTATTAAAACTCGCAAAAGACTGTGTTTATTTATTTTTATAGTAATATCATCAATAAAAACCCTTGATTATTATAATTATTCGGAAACATTAATTCAAACTATTTTATTTAAGTCTGATCATTAACATTAGGTTATCAACGAATCTGCAATTTAATACTTATCGCCCGTGTGTTAGTTCATCCACTTGGCAAATGCTGAAACCCAACCGGTAATTAGCTTGATTAATAGACACCTAGTTTACGTAAGCACTGGGCGCAACCTTCATAAGCAAATACTATTCAACATTATTGTTCGCAAATATTAATTCGATAATAATTCATTTAATTGGTAACAATAATATTATTTACCAACAAATGGACCAACATTAAAAACATATTCTCATACCAACGTGTTACGAAATAGGCGGTGTTCGTTACAGCAATCAGTCGGGTAGGAACATATTTTAGAATAGTAATAATCAAACATGACGATAATTTGTGACGGATTTCAGAGCGGCGTACTAAAGAAACTAAAAAGCTAAGGTAAAATAATTGCTATTCCTTGGCCACACCTACAAAAAGTGACGGCAATCGCGTATTCAACGATTTAACGATATTAGTACTTATGTGTTACGTTTGATTCCTCGGGTGAGATTCAGAGATGTTAGTGAAATTATTGTGGTACATTAATTGCCGTCAATGACGAACGTAGACTGTTTTGCATATTTTATTACGTAGGTTTGATGATTTTTCTAATAACTCGTGTAACGTAAATGCCCGTTACCATCAACACCCTCAGTAAGGTCAACCAGTGTAGTACAGCGGTGACGACGTCAAATCGAATACTAAATACACATTATTTTTTAATAAAAAAAAACCCCATAAGGAAGTAAGCTGATTTGCTATACACGTAAATACGAAAAACGTTTGTGATTAACAATCCAGCTAGAATGATTTATTTAATGGTCTTTAACAAAACAAATTTTATATTTTAACGTTCATTCAGTAACCGACCGGCGACACTTAAACACACATTAAATATACACGTGCGTATGTGACAGTGATCAATTTTTAGTTACATTTGAAACAGTGTGCGTTATTTTTAGTAAATCGCAAACTCGTTGTTAAATTACTTTTGTTTTATCTTAAAATACTGTTCGTTGATTTTGCGAGTGTTTAAATGTGCTCATTGATCGGATTACTTGGATTACTCTCATTAATGTCGTAATATTTTTAAAAATACGTAAGTGTTTAAAATAGTTTTTTAAATATTTTCAATTTATCAATGTTGCCTAAATCTAAAAAAGCCAAACCTAATAAACTGGATTGTTTGCATCTGTTTCTAAAGAACTGCCACAATGAAACTTAGATTTTTTTCCTTTCGTCTAATTTTCTTAGATTTATAATATATACAAGGATATTAGTTCTGTATTTTTTTTAAGGAATGAAGTTTTACTATTAATTAAGTTCGACGGTATTTATACTGTTTTTCGCTAGAGCTCTTCGTGGCCCCTAGTTTTGATGAATGTGCTAAACTTTTATGAAAATAACTACTTAATCGAAAAACATTTCATGATACACTTATGTGTTGACATACTAATCTAAAATATCTCAATATGCTTGAAGTTCTTTTTTTATAGAAATTAAAGCATTGTAGTCAATTTTGAAATATTTTCTATAGACTTTAATATTAATTACCAAGTCATTTACTATAACAAACAAATTATTCAAAGAAATTTTAAAAGTAATCCTCGATCTACCTCAAAAAAAAAAAAATTGTAAACAGGCTTTATAAGTATTTAAAAAATGTAATACCTGGAGGTCGTTAAAAATAAACGTAGTCTAGATTGTTGAAGGACAAGTAATTAAATTTTTACATTTATATAAATGTTTCAGTTAGTATCATTTCGATTAAAAATTTTATTTATATTTGACTTATCACTAGTAAACGCAATTTAAAATAATGATGTACCATCGAACTTTAATATTTGAAACCAATTACCTTAAATTTAGCATACTAAATATAAAAACAGTATCATATTGCAGTTAAAGAATAGATAGGATTATTTGCTAATAATTTCATAACTACCCAATAATGATTAATGACTGTAACAATAAAATGAGAAGTTATAATAATGCGTTTATGATATTCACTAAGTTACAGTTTATGAATACTATTTTTGCGTGGTAGTGTTTTACTGTATATAAGATGATCTTGAAAATAAAAATAGGAAGTATATATTACAACGACAAACGATAACGAGTCATTGAAATTTTTATTGTGATCTTCTGAGATCATGATATTTAAAAAAAGCCCTAGTAGTACGTTTTTACCGGAAGTCTTATGTTTTAATGGAGCGGGAAGTGCCTATAAACTTATAAGAACTTGATAAGCAAGGCTAAAAAAATTGCCTAAAGGGATGTCATTATAAATAAAATGAATAACAGATAGGGAAAATCGATATTTTTTAAAAATAAGCGTAAAATTTTAGTTTGTAAAACATTTACATATTTAATCCATAATTGGATAGTATATCCATAATAGTTCGAATCCCAGAAAAATACTATGGACACTCCAACATATCACATTTATTTTATTACTTTTAAATGTTTTCTGTAAAAAATTTACATAAGGCAAAAGAACAATTGTAATATTTTCCATTTTAAAATAATTGTCACATGTGATTTTCAGAACAAGTAAACTAAACATTTAGATGTCAATTTTTTTCAAACTTTATGATTTTGTTTGTTTACAAATAATAATGTATTATTAAAAATTCAATTAAGTTTTGTCGGATTCATATTTACGGTAAAATTATACGTTTTTATTAAAAAAAACTTAGCATTAAAAATCTTGCTATAAAACATTTTTAATATTTTTATTTTTAAAAATTCTTAAATATTTATGTTGAGTTTAATCAATAACAGTACCTTGAACTCGTTTAAAACGACAAATTGTTATGGGAGGTCATTTTTTAAAGTGATAACCCCCAGGACACTAAATTTAAAATCTTATGGTGTAATGTAATTTTACATGTTAAAACACAAGCTAGTTTTTCTGTGATTAATTGGAACTCTTACGACTGAAATAGTATATTTATTGATACAGTAGAATGGGATAGTCATATTATTCAATTAGTACAAGGTTCAATTAACACTTGTTGTATCTAAAGAGAGCCATTATAACATCAACAGAATATTAGGTTAAATTCTATTATATATTCGTAAACAAAATATTAAGTAAACAAATAGTTTTAAGTAAGATTTTGATTTTGTGTCTCAACAAAAATTCCATAGAACTTAACTAATAGAGACTTTTTTTATAGTATACATTTTTTTCATTCGACTCATTCAACATTTATTGTTACTGAAAATCATAATAGTTATAAGTATATAAATATGTTTACATAGCTAATTCTCTTTTAAAATTTAATGAAGTTTTATGCTAGTGCATATTCATGGAATTAATGGAAACATTTCCAACCTTCGATAGAAGAAGAATAATCATATTAATGAGAAAGTCAAATAAATCATTTTATTAAAACATAACAGTTTGCGTATAACTGTTGGTTTTTTAACGAAATTTGCTATCTTTAATCAGTAGAGCGTACGGCCCCAAAACAAAATACTTTTCGTATACATTTTTGTGATAATCACAATCGAGCGGTTTTTTGTTATCTCTAATCTCTGAACTCATATTAGATAGCTTCTCAGATAGAATTAGACCACAGGGATCTCAGTCATTCGGTTACTATGGGAACAACCGTTATGAAAAATCACGTCAATTCTCAATTGTCTCGTGTCATGAAAGAACCGTAGGTCAAGTTTCCGAATATCAATTAATATAAAAACACGTATCGGTAAAAAAAAAATTGCCCTGTCAGCAAAACGGATCAAAAATTTGTGACCCGATTACAATTATTATTATTTTTTTGTTAACTTGCTTTACCGCTAATATTAAATAATTTAGTGCACGCTAATTGCACACCACATAAATTTAGCTGACTTAATATAGTTACACGTATTGCAAATTTCATATAGTCATTAATTTTGCGGTGGATTTCGTTTCGCAGTATTGGACTCACTCAAGGCGGTTGCCCGAGAGCACCGCGAATGGGATGCAAAGTCATCGTGGATATCATCTGAACACTGTCGACGAACTCAGCCGATAAGCAACCGAAACCAAAATGGGTCTGACTTCGATAAAGCTGCCGTACCAATCGTCAAAGAATCGGTTATTTGGTGTGCCACCACGTCGTATGTCGTCGGCTAGTTTCCAACCGATACCGACTTTCAACGTTAATGATCCTTTCAACAACGATTATCATCGGGCACCCAACCGGCGAAATGTGAACGCCAGAAGGAATGCCGTGCCAATCAATATGCTCGTGTCTCAGAGAGGGATAAGCAACAGTGAGTTTTTTTACGTTAATTAATTAAATACACTAGTCGATTGTAATAATTCGGAATCTTCAGAATTTTACAGCTTTCAACATTATTCAAATTAACTGTAACTTTATTGTAATTTATAAAAAAATTATGCATACTTCTTATACGAAAACCCGCACGTTCATTTATTAAATACTTAAGAATTAATTAGTGTGATTTTGAAGGAAAAAAAATTGCAAGTCAATTTTCAACGCGTGCGCAATTTGCAAGGAGTTTATTTAAATGTATAGAACGAAACGTGATTTCACCCAGAAATGTCATTATCTGTGCGAGTTATGAGTTTAAAATATTTTTTTATTGGTAATTAATTTTCTTAAATTTTTATCTCTTAACTGACCTACATATTGTAAAGTAATATTCTGAAGATTTCTCGCAAATACAATCGAGGGGTAATACGAGTTACTATTTTGCTCCGACAAATTAATCTAAAAAATATAATGGTAATCGGACTTTTACTTTAAGTATTCCTAACATAAAATCTCCGTTTATGCATTAAACTTAAATTAGTTCAATTTGAATATAACGCGCTTCTAGATGAATATTTGTAAAATATACTGTTATAGACGATTACGATCGATATGAATTCGTAATTTTTTATTCAAATACTTTGAACTCGTGATAATGATAAGTTAAGTGAAAATTTACACTATTGTCAAAACACTGAAATAATTTAAACCCCAAATATTGTTACGTCTAAATAATCTATTGACCACAATATCTAAAATATATATGTAATAGAAAATAAGGAAAGCAACGATTACTTCAGTATCAGCAACCACTACAAATTATTTCAGCGCAGTAGACCGTGTATTACTATTTCATACATGTTTCCTAACATTTACTTAGATACACGAGTTTACGTCACGCGTTCATTATGCATATTATGTCTATACTATTGCAACTCGTATGGCGTTGAGACATAAGGAGATTCTCCAAAGATATATTTTATATTTGAAAAATAATAGTACCTAGATAAAAAATGATAAAAAATAGAAGCACACGGGTGAACTTTGAAGTCAAACGAACCCAATTAAATATTTTTACTAGGTCATTTAGTTGGTATACTACTGATTATTCAATTTAAAAATATTCGCCCGATTTAATAAAACTTCATTTCTTGTTCGTCTTCTTTGTTACACATCTTTTTTATTCCACAAAATTAATTTAAATATTTTTGTAAACATGTTTGTAGAATAATATATCATTATTATAGTTTAGTAGGTCACCGGGAAATAATATTAAATGTATTGTGAACAGACCTTTTTTAGAATGAGTGGACGGTAGTTTGCTGGACCCGGTTTATCCACTGCATAATATCGTATACGTGTGCTACATATTATTATAATTGAGCATGGATAGTTACATTGGAGGAAGTTTTAACACCTCATTGTACACTATTACGTATGTTATACGATTTATTATCGTTTGAAAAAAAAAAATCGGTGGTCAACGAAATTTAAAACCCCTACTTCAATAGTGAAAGTTATATTACCCATACCTACTTGTATCTTTGTCAGTAAATTTACAAAGAATTTGATAAGGTTCATTACACGTTTTGATTTATTTTCGTCTTAGGCTTTATATTTACCATTTATTTTCATACAAATAAGTATTTTCTTTATTTATATTTTTAAACACCGAATGACAATTTATAAGGAATAAAACAATTAATAGAAAGGTGGTTACGGCAATAGTAATGTTAATGTATTAAAGTCTTGGTAAATAAAAAGAAAATCAACCATCGCAATTTTTGTGGTACCTAAAATTAAAAAAAAAAATTTTAATGATAACTAATTTTGTATACCTATAATTTAGGGTGTTTTAAAACGGAGAGAAGATTGATCCCTATTATACCTTTTTTAAAACACTTCTTAAGAAATATTACACAAATGTAGAAATAATAAATTAATTTAATAATTGTGTGGCGTTTTATTTAATTTTTAATTTTAGTATTAATACAACTTTTTACAATCATACAGCATCTTTAATTTTTAATGCAGAGTTATAATTTGTAAAAGAAAATTTAGTATCTAAATTTACTTTCACATAAAATAATTGCGTACTTATGCTTCTTTCTGAAATGTTGAAATTAATAATTTTTAATGAGCTTATTCGACTTTTATACTAAACAATACAAATTAATAATTAACTAATGTTTCATAATTCAGTTTGCACATCTTGAAAAGCCGAAAATTGGTATAGGTCTCTGTATGTCAACACAACCGGACCATAACATGAAACTGTTAATTGTTTTGACTAACTACGAGTAATAAAATCTGTTATATTTTTCATAAACTTCTTGAGTAATTTTCTTTGTATAAATATTACTTTTCATTACCGAGTCCATTATTGATAAATCATATAGTAAAACATATTGTAATTGTAATCGTTATAACTAGTTGTTAGTATTTCAAAATTACCGCAGGATAATTATTTAAAAATAGAATGTTAATAATGATAATCGTTTGGGGGTAAGCGTCATAATTTCTGATAATTTTTATGTTAAATTAATATTCACACTCTCTATCATCTAATCATCACTAAATTCTCTATTTGAGGTCGGCTCTGCCTTAACACTTTAACAGAATTTTATACCGGCTGTCGATCTACGAATCCAAATTATAGCTAAGGAAACCAGTATAAAGAAAAAGTGTGATGCATGTGACCATATGGGAACTGTTTAAGTTCCCATGTGGTCACCCATCCGACAACCAACGAAAACAGCGCAGCTAAACATCCGTGCTAAAGTGAGTGAATAGACCACTGCGCCACACCATGCACTATCAATCATTTAATAGAGAGTATAAATAAGACATCGAGTTTCAAAACCAGCTCAAAGTAATTTTTAAAAGTTTCCAAGGACAACAAAAAAAAAAGAAAAACTTTCCAATAGGATTAAATGAGGAAAACAATTTTCAATGATTAGTTAAAATTTTGTTAGGTGTTAAATAATATTTTTACAGTATACCCATGCCCTTATATTAGCTCCCTCAGCCGTGATGAGATTGTATCAGACCGACAGACGATGTAAAATTCCTTCAAATTGTTAAGGCAGAGTTGACCCCAAGTAGTTGGCATAGTTATGTTGATGATGATAATTACGACATTGTGAATTATCAATTTATCATATAAATAGTTTTCTAACAATTGTGCATAAAATAATTATATGTTTTGATCATTAAAAATATTAAGAACTAAGAAGCAACTTCAACCATTTCTTTATTTCCTGATAAATTTACCATCGTTAATTGTAAATTAAATTGGTGAAAAAATTCTGGTGTGCGTTAGATTTGAATACTGACATTTTTTTTTGTCTACAACACTTGATTTTAACGCCTTCTTGTTATCGTTATATAATTATTTCTCTACATACATTTTAAATATATATAAATACTTCTATTCTTGTATTACAATCTTTATTATTAATAAAAAGAGCTTAAAAAAATAGTAATGATTCATACGCTTTGGCTACGATTGTAAAATCCTTCATACAACGTAACCACAACAAATGAATGCGTTTTATTAAACCTCAGTTTTAGTTGCACAATAATGTGATGAAATTATAATTAATTGTAAAGAATAAAAAAAGTTGTTTTTCAAGTCTAATTTATCTAAAATCGTCTCTTCTTTGTTATTAAACTATTTAAAAAAATTGAATAAATTAATCTATGTAAATATGCGGTGGTTCTTTCAGCAGAAGGTTAAAAGTATTAAGCTTCCTCAGTTAATCGGAAATATCCTAAGTTTTAGGTATGATAACTACAAAAAAACGACGGGGTAGAAAGATTACCAGAAATATTATTTCAATATTAACCCTATTGATCAATTCTGTGTATGTCACAGTAAATGACTATATTTCTTATTTTTTTTTTAACTAGATCATTTTTTTGTTTGGTAAAATATCACTTGTAAAATTTAAATTCTTTACATTCAAGACATATTTTAACTGTAGTTAAATATTCTATAATTGCATTATAATCACAGCACTGCCACGAAATTTACAATATCCTGTTATAAATCGTGATACATTACTTACTAAAATTTATTGAGGCATCTTTATGCCGATATCAATGATATTATCAAGAAGATTAGTGTTTTTGAATGAGTATCATGATTCAATTTTTCATATCAGTAACTTAATATGTTAATATAATGATGACCTTATATAAAAAAGAACAATTATTATGATAGTATTTAATGTAGAATAATGTTTGTAGGTTGTATTTTGGTAATAAAAATTCTAATCAATTAATCTTAAAACTGATAAATATTACTAAAAATTTAATCTAACATTTTATAACATAATTTAGTTGTCATGAAATGTTCAAATTTAATTTTTCTATTTATTTAAGAAATTTTAGGAACCTATGATAAAATCTAATTAAAGAATTTTGATAAAACCAATATACTATTTATTTAATATTATAAAATATTACTATTTTTATTTGTAAATATTTTTATGATAAAAGTATATAACTGAAAATTCAGAAAATTTAATATTTTATGAATAACATAAAATATTTGTTCATAATTACTAGTTTTACATGTTATAATACTAAACAATTTTACATATTAGATTATTGTAGAATTTTCTTTTAATTATAATATTTTCTATTTATTAAAGAGTTGAATTAAATAAAGTAATTATTATTAAAATTATTATTACAGTTTATATAATTTTGAAGGAAACGCTTTGTGCTTAAAAACTTAGTTTAGTTTTGTTGTAGTTTTAGCACAGAAAACCCCGAATTTTCCTTAAATCAGCATAGATTAATGCAAGTAAAAATCTTAAGACTTGTTAAAAAATGTAAAAATAAAATTTCAATACTAATATCACTTATAAAAAACACAAAGCTATGAAAATAAACAACCAAATGTTTGTATTACAATATATTCAAATTGAACAATTTTATCAATACTTGATTTTTATAAAGTATTATTTTGTGTTAAGTTATATCAATATTTATTTTGTATTTTAGGTCGATTAGCAGTAATTTTAGTCGGTGTTGTTGCCTTAATAGCAGGATTGATACTGTCTTCAGTTCCTTGGGTACATTACATAGTATTAAAAGTATGTATTGTTTAGCAAAAAATACTTTATTAATTTTTAATTTAATGAAAATTTAATTGCTAAATAACCAAAAGGTTACCGTTATTTTTCAAAATAAATGAACTTCTAATTGTTAACTACATAGTTTTACTTGTAAATCTAATAATTACACTTAAATTAGTGTATTTAATTTAATGTTTGTGCAATTCTTTCTCTACAACTGACAACTCTATTTGATTTAGGTTTTCAAGCTTTTTCTTCGTTAATATTCATAGAATTTTTATATAATGAAACTATATTTTTTTATTTTTCTGGCAGTTGAAGTCATCTTAAGGACATACTATTCGTATTTTTAAACAACTAAAAAATTGAGTTTCTTCAAAATTCACTAATTAAATATGTACATAGCAGATATATAATTCTTGCTTTTATTTTAACTAAGCCATCTGAGAATATTTGACATACTCTCAGATGGCTTAGTTAAAATTAATTTAAGCTTATTTCCTTTACTAAGAAAATATATCATTAGGAAGTTGTATTTAAAATATAATATTGCGTAACTGATTTCAAAATCTTTCTATGCAATTTTGTTAAAAATAAATTATACATAATTACAGTATTTATAACGAGTTTTAAGATTTTAAAAGAAAAAAAATGTATTGAATATTATACGCTGTAAAAATAAAATTACGATAGTCCTTTCTAATAATACACATATGCCAATTACTCATAAGATTATCCAAATAATGGCTAATATGAGACTAGGTACATTCCCTAATATATTAGAAATGTAAAATCACCACATCTATTACATTTATATACAAGTCATTTTTCAAAAACTATTAGGTTAATTTAATTTTTCTAAGAAACAAAAACAGTTGTATGATTCTAATCATTATCAATATTTAGAATTTTATTTTGGTTTTACACAATAAAAATATGTTCTTATCACTACAATATTATATTGAAATTCTGGTATTTAGATTTTGGACATGTTAATCAGGGACTATTCTCCCTGTAGATATGTCTGTGATGGTAATTAATAGAAACCAATATTTTTGACCATCAAAAAACTTACTAAAACTCTAAAATATACTTTTATACTGTTAAATAATGAAAAACAATTTTTCGTTAAATATTATCAAAAATCCCATTTCATTTATTTATTAGATTTGGAAAATTGCCAGATATGTACAAATAAAAATACTATGTATGAAAACATGATTTAAGCTAGAGAAAATTACTTAACATCTAGATTTTAGACAAGAACAAAAATATATTTTTATCTCCTTCTCAAATAAGGTTGATCCATTGCATAAAAATTCTATTATAATTTATTTTATAGTAACTTTTAATTGTACATCACTTAATTTTTTTTCTGTCCGTAAAAGTTTGGTAAAATAAAATGAAAAAATATCGTATTTAAGGGTTGTAACTTAAAGAAAGTTGAAAATGTCATTATATTATTATTATGTGTCAATATTATTAAAATGTGCATTTTTATTCTTCTGAATTGGGTGCAAAATCATCAGTATCTAAAATGCACTACAGAGTATTCGGCTTTCTATACTAAAAGCAAGTTGATATGAAAACTTTTGTTCAATCACGGACAAAAAAATTGTGTCCATTATTTTTTTAACTTACGCGCTTGTGTCGTATGAATTTATTATTTCATCGTAAAATCTAAGAGTAATAACTATTTCCTACTTTTTAAATGTAAAACACAGATTTTACACTAATACTTTTTCGAAGTTGAGAAATGTTTATCTTTGAGGTGATATTAAATCAATAACTTGAAATATTTTAACTGTTTATTGCTTGTGTTAATTATAAATGTTTAACGAATTTTTCACAACGGTATAGATGTATTTAATGTCGTTTACCTTCAATCCAACAAAACCTTGCTATTGATTGATTCTTAATTACCTAATAAAATACTATTTTTATATAATTCCTATTTTTAAATTGTAAAAAAGGCACTAACGAAAACAAGAATTATAATAAATACTTCAATAATTTAAAAAAAATGTTTATGTTATAATTTAGTAGTATTTTTCATTTTCAGAACTTAAAACTTTGGAATGGTACGCTAAGTTATCATTACTGGCAAAAACCCGGAGTTTTAAGACTGACAAAAGTATTCATATTTAATGTCACCAATCCGGATGGTTTTTTGCATAATGGAGAAAAACCAAAACTTCAAGAAGTTGGGCCATTTGTTTACAGGTATTATTAAAATTTTTTTTTTTTTAGTACCATCTTATTTTAAGTACTGCTTTGGTAAAATCCAGAATTATTCGCATTGTTATTATATATTTTCCCCGTCAAATAAAAAAAAATTGTTATATCTTTGATATAACTAATCTTATTTCACAGTAGATAAAACTAATTTTGATTTTGTTGCTTAAGTTTTAAGCTGAAGTAACTCGAATATATTTTTCAAAAATAAGATGAAAATGTTATACTATTAGTCATTTTGCCAACATTTATAATTATGATTCAAAACTATTTATTAAATTATTGTACTGGATATGAAATATTTTTTATCTAGTTAACCATATAATAATTTTGGGAAAAAGAAAATTTAACGAATTATATTCACGAAAAAAAGTTTTCGAGTCCTTACAATTAATTTGTTCCCTGGGTAATAGAATTCACAGAGGAATAGCCCTTTAATTGGAAATCGTTTGAGAAATCCTTTCCTATTGTAGTGCATTTATAAAAAAAAATTATTTTTATTTTGACCATACTTATCAAAATTGTTGTTGTAAATAGTATTATTGTACATGTTTTAAATATTTTAATTATTATGCCAACTACCTTAGAAATGTGACATAACCATTTCTGCCTATTAGAACCTTTGATCCTGGATATTAGTTTTTTAGTTTTAGTTATTAAAAGGATGGATATAGTCGCTGCTCATGTATTCAGACTTTGTTGTTCATTTTACGCATCCTATGTTGAATTTTACGATAAGAATCGATTTATCACCGAGGTATAATATGTTTACCTTTCATTGTTTTTACTTTTGTTCGTACAGGTTATCATTAATTAATTCCCTGATATCACAAGATAATTCCGAGCCTTTTCAGAAACATTCGGTTTATCACTATTGGAATTTTCATGTTGACTTTTCTTCCGTCTTTTTGCTAGTTTTGATTTATCATAATGTACCCGTGCTACTATAGTTCATCATTAACTTCCTCATTCCTAACATTAAGTTTAAAATTATCTAACAGTCTTTGATGGAAGACCGTTGATTTGACCCTTGTTTTTATAGGTTTCCCTTAATTAAAACCCTGATTTTCACAAGATTATTCCTTCTTGTAGTATATCCATTCCGTTTCCACAAGAAGTCGAGAAAAGTCCACCACAGCAGAGCTCGATACTGTGATAAGGCTATAAACTCTATTGTGCGCTAGGTGGCACATAGGTTCTCAATTGTCAACTTCAACTTTTGAAATACTATCACGTTGACAAGTCTTTCTCACATGGTATGGAGGATTGAGGGTCTATGAAACCGTAACATGGTACAGCCTCATGCTTAAAAGGAAAAATATTCATACAGTAGAAACCGTTTATAATATCAAACAAAGGACTAATAAAAATTAGTCATAACAACTTTTTGTCACTATAACCAAAACAACGAAAAAGAATTTAAAAACTAAATTTTACAACTATAAAAACATAATATTTTATTACAATTACTGTGTTTTATTTTTACTACTAAATCTTATCTTTAATATATACAAAACAGCACAGAAAAAATAATGATAAACAAAAAGATTGTGTTTTAAATTATTTAATTATTATTTTAGAATTATATTTATATATTTACTTAAAAGAAATGTGTCATTTTTGTTTAATATTTATTAGTATAAAAATTATGCTACATTTTTTAAAATTTTTCAAAATTAGTTATTCAACTTACGTCATTCAGAGCCATATAATTTGTTAACATTTTTATTGTATTCAACACTGCACTGATATATATATATATATATATTCATCGGGAGTATTAGCTTCTTCTTACTATTATCGTCTTCTTCAAGTTTTTTAAGTTAATTATTTAATGAAGAGATAATTTTTTGATCATTTGATGGTTCTGAAGTTAGCACATCAATGTTAATATAATAATTTATAATTATTTTAATAAAACATACAATTTCGAAGTTTCTTCGCTAATAATTTTTGAAACTTTTGTTCTATTTTATTTTGAATTTTTAATATGTTAGAAATTGTAGAGTACTCACATCTAATTTATTAGCCATGTCGGAATTTTTTCACCTTTTTTAAAATGAAAAATGACATTTGGTTTTTCTTCAATAAATTTCTTTCGTTATCTCATTTTACAATATTTATTACGATGATTACGATCAATCACATGCACTTTATTTCATTTTTCGACTGTTTGTCTACTAGAAGTTTTTAGAAATGGTTACTATTTTTTAATAAGTTAAAGAAGAAAATTATTTTTACTTTACAAATATTTGATGGTCCCTAACTACTTCATATTAATGATTTTTTTTTTTATTATTTTACTTAAAAATTTTTTTTTAAAGTCATTGACATATTAAAATCTTTTATGTGTAAATATGTTTGTTCTTCGGAAAAGAGCACATGACTTCATTGTGTATTCTTAGGTTTAAAAAATATTTAATATATCAGATAAAATCAATGATAAATTATTTAATTGATAGTTTTACAATATTAATACAATCACAAAAATTATTTTAAGTTGACAAATTTACCACGAAAGAATGGATCATTTAGATTTTTGTTTTTCTATAAATTAATATTTTATAAATAGGTACTTTGTCCGAAAAACACATCAATTATAAACGGGGTTTTGATAAAAAAAAATAATACGTGTATAATTAAACAATTTATTAAAGCAATTTTTTTTTTTTTTGAGAGAGAGACCTAATTATTAAAATTTATTAACGGTTGAGTAACAGACATGAGCTAGAGACTGTAACATTTTAACTGCCTACGCTAAACAAAAACAAGGATAAATTTAATTATACTAGAAAACAATGTTTTCTCGTTTTTAAAATTAAATATTAGTTCAACACTCAAGATAATCATAATTTTGTCATGAACAATTAATTTTTAGTACGTAATTTATGATGTCAATATTAAAATACCTTCAAGAAATAAATAGATATTATAAATTATATTAATTTAATATGATTTATTAACTTATTTTTGTTATTAAAATAGCTTTACAATGAATAACTATAATTAGTTATTTACTTTTTTTTTTTTTAATAAATTAACATGTGGTTTGATTGGTAACGTCACCTAGGACATTTTTTATATAGGACGTAATTTCATGGCATATGGTCATTTATATGTTGTGGTCCATATGACGATCATTTCCAGTTAAGTAATTCTAGCTTTGCAAGATTATCATTATGCAATCTCTTAACTAATTCTTTTTACACTATTCCGTAATTTTTTATTTCACCAACACTTTTGTATTCAACTTAAAATTTCAAACAATTTAGATTATTAAAAACTATTTCTTACTTGTTTTCAACTACACAAAAAATATAAACCGTTTTGAATAATTGAAGCCTCATAAATCATAACAACTTTTGCATATAATTATTTTATAGCACACCATAAACAGTTGTTTGCAGGGGAGATACGATTAATGCCGCCCATCTTGATATCTCGATAAATACTGAACACCCTGTATATTTAAGTAGATATTGTCGAAATCTAATTTATAATCTATACTAAAATAATCAATATAAAAGCTAAATTTATTTCAGTTTTTACGTTGAATTTATGATAAATTTTTTTATTTTAGTGGTATTTCGTCTCATAAATTTTTCACAGCATTTTTAATTTAAACTAATCTGCGATATTTATATTTCAATATTCCTAATATAATAATAACCATTAGTATTTTATAATAGCTTGAGATATTGTTTTTAAGATAAAATCAATGTTAAACACCTATTATTGAGTAATTAAAACTCTCACATAAATTTCAAAATTGGGTAATTACTACCACATTGAGTAGCCTTTAACTTGATAACAAAATAGATCAATGTATTACACAAAACATTTTTAAACATAATTTAATATTTATAATAGTTCTTTAACAAAACAATTGGTTTATCATTGTTGTTAAGAAAGAAAACAGTATTCTTTAGGGGTAATTCCACCCAAAATAATTTTTTGGGAAATCGCGTGTTATTTCATATAACGTTATTTTAAATTATCTTTGCGTATAAAAATTAAAATATAAAATTTATTTTAGTCACATTTCAAAATAAAACTTATTTTCTACGTCAATTATTATAGATTTTATAGCTAAATTTCCTTAAATGGATGACATTACCCATATATCTCCTGTTAATTGCAATATTAGTCATATTTGACACTGAACCATATAAATTCTAAACAGTTAATAATTTTAGCATCACGGTCGTGTATTAAATAGTGATTCAGTAGATAAAAATCTATTGAGCAATTCAATTTAGTAAAAATATTTATCTCATCTAAGATAATCAAACATCTTTTGCCTCCAAATTTCATAGAATCTATGGAAACCTTGAACAAAATCATCTTATGAATCCTATGTCTGATAAAGATAATATTTCAATGAATGTACTTTTATCTTATTCCAACATAGTTAATTGCCCTTGTGCCGAATAGCATTAAGTTCTAGCATTACATGCAAGTTTTATTTTTATCCCTGTACGGATTCATTTCCTTCAGGCGTATAAATTTGACCAATATAAAATAATTTAGCGCTTGATTATAAGATCTAAAGAGTAAATACCCAAAATAGCATAATCAAATTATGAACATTTTCAATAGATATTTGTGATTAAAAAAAATATATCAACGTCCTTTATTTAAATTTTTTTTCAAATTATTAAAACAGAAATTAATAATAAATTAAAGAATACTTAATTAAATTAAAAAATAGATTTTTGTACATAATACTTCCATAATTGAAAATTACGTAAATAATAAAAATGAACATACAATAATTAAACTTGGGTTCACAATTATAAATTCAAAAGCGTCTTCGTGATTCCAGTTTTGCAATAGTAGAAGTATTATTATAATATGTATTAAAGAAAGTGGATACATTTAGCGAATTTTAGTACAATTAAATCTCACTAACCATAGAGTGTGCACTTTTAATTGTTTAAAATTTAATGACAGAATATGACCCTGAATTGATTATCTTAAGTAAAAGTAAAAAAATCGGAAAGACCCCGCTGCGCTATCATATAAATATGTATGTTGTAACAAAACTGCTTTATTTTACTTCAGGAGCTTCACGTCAACATAGGCCGCTTACCGTCCTTGACCCGAGTCTACGGAATTTACTTAGTTTTATTCTATAGAGTTATAATGACCAATCGATATAATTCGAGACAAGTTGCGATTATATACGATGGATTCATACTCATGACAATTATTGTCAGGTCAAGAAATAAAATAAATATGCATTATCCACGTGAACAATATCTAATAAACATGAATTAGTAATATCTTTTTAAATTTTTTATTTAAAATTAATAAATACAAATATGGATTTCTTCAAAAAGTTAATTTGTTGATTTTAATAATTTTCCAGGACAGAAAAAATAAATTTTTAATTTTAGTGGCGTCTTGTAAAAATAGAAGTTTTTGAAAAGGAAAAAAACCAACCTTATTGTTAAAATTAAAATTTAATTTTTTGACACGCGAAAGAAAACATTCTCTCTATACATATGATGATAATTCTCAAAAAACAGATACATTTTTGTAATGTATTAGCTTTTCAATATGAACTACAGATTTTATTAATTTAAAAAAAAATTAAATAGTTAATTCAAAATATATATTATATTTTAATTATCACAGTTATAAGGACATATAGAAATTTAAATTTCAATTTATAAATGTCATACTTCAATTTAAACTCTTTGTAAAACAATAAAATAATAAAGTCCGTTTCTTTTATATTAGCAAAAATTAACAACAAACTATTGCATTTATGATGACATGCTAAAAACGGTAATGCTGTATGAAGTTCTATGAGTGTTAAGGAGAAAGTGGTCAAATCCTTTCCTGTATAATATTACACCGTTGAATGATCTAGAGTGGTAGCTGCGGAGGCTGTACAGTAAATTACTGACATTATGTAATAAGACATTAAAAACCAATGTTTATTCTTTATAAATTTATTTCAAAAACATTTACGTACATTAAAAAGTGGTTGACTAAAGATATTTTAGTCAACTTTTAGTATTTTAAAGATATTTTATGACAATTATACGTCATTATAATGAATTTAAAATATACTATTTTATAATAAAAAAGAACTGTTAAGTTTTAGTAGGTTATTATGTTATGTGATCAAATTTTATAAGTCATAGAACAAGCATCAATACACCATTATTATTAAAATATCAAAAAGTTAACTATAAACATAAAAACATTTCCCTGAAAAAAATGAATAGAAAATTTAATAAAAACGTTAATTTTCAGTGTAGGAGGGATACAAAAACTACAATTGCCCCTTTAGATATTCTCTGAAGATATTTCTTCCAAGTAAATATAAATTTTTGTTGCAATGAAAGCTAGTTATTATGTATTTAGCGAAATAGTATATTAAATTTTTAAAAGAAAAATTAGATGCAAAATTTTTTACTAAAGAAATTGTTCAAGTTTACTTATTCAAATTATTCACATTGACAACTTGTTTTCAGTTAAATACATCATTAAATACATTTTGGCAAAGTTAAATACCATATTCTTTTCTTATGTATTGTGAAATCATCCTATTGATTTACAGTAGCCTCGTAATATGAAAATCTTAGGTGGCATTGAACCTTTTAGTAGTTGGCATTAACCTAACTTTTTGTATTTGTATATCGTTAAAAGTTAAATTTATAATGCAACTTAAATATTTTTAATTAAAAAACAAACTATTATATACTTCTCATTTTTATTATATTTTTTCCAAAATAAACTTATATACAATTCAAAAAAGTTGAGACGCCTATAATTATAAATATTTTAAGTTAAATTTCCAATAATTAAAATATATATCGTAATACTTATTATCTGATATTATTTTGTTTAAAAAACGAACGAAATGTATTAATATTATATTTATATTTAACGTTTAACATAATTAAAAAAGGATTTGTCTTGAAAAAATTAGTAACGATTATAGTTATTATTAGTTAACGAGTCATGTCAACTGTGTTTGGTAAGTCCTTATTAACATGCTGCACAGGATCGCGTTGGGTTTATATTAATAAACATATCACAAAAATTAATTTTTTTTTAAATTTATAATAAAGACAAATAATAATTCTAATGTGTGATCATTATTTTATCATATTATTACTAGAAAAAATAATTGAATATTTGATAATTAAAGAAAAAAATTAATTTTCTATTAATACTTCTCAAATATCTCTTGGTTTGTATCTTTTTATTTTTAAAAAATATGAACCTTTATAAAATTTTTTAAACTCTTAAGAAGGCCGTGTAAAATAAAATAAAATTGAATAAAATACGTTGAAAGTATGTTTCTATATTTATCGTTATGTCATTTGTAAAAGCACACCGGGTAGCCTAATGTTTTTATGAGAATCTTAAGTTATTTATGAATCTTAATAATAACACAACTGATAGGAACATTGATAATAGCTTTCTTAAATGATAAATCTTAAAGAGAAACAATGTTTAGATTTTTCTCAGCATGACTTAACAATAGGTTTTATTTTTAACAGAATATCATGTTCAGGCAAATAGTATTTACCAAATTTAAGGTCAAGTTTGTAAGCAACTGATTATGTTTAATAATAAGTAAATAAGACTGGTTTTTATGCAGAATATTTATTGTTAAGAAACTAGCAATTTGAGTTATAATACATATTTTAATACAATATGTCACGAATTTGAGTTACTCGTTTATTGATTCGTTCACATTAATACCATAAAAGTATTTGAACATACTCTAATATATGAGATACATCATATATGATACATCATACTCTGGAACAAGTTTTTTTAATAAGTTTTATTTATTTCAGAGAAGATATGGAAAAAGTAAACATAAAATTTCATAATAATGGAACTGTAACTTATCAACATAAAAAAATTTTAGAGTTTATGCCTCATTTATCAGTTATAGCAAACGATGAAGTAAAATTAACTGTTCCAAACATTCCCTTATTAGTAAGTATTATTAATATCTTCTTTTATTTATTTAATATAATTAGCAACGTTTTTATTTTAGACATTAACTACGCAAGCTAACAGTTTACCGTCATTATTAAGAAGTTCACTCTCTGCCATATTAAGGTTTTCTAGTCTTACTCCTTTCAAACACGTAACTCCACAGCAATTAGTATTTGGATATGATGACCCGTTGACTTCTTTAGCCAATACTTACTATCCAAAAGGGAAAAGACCGCCCAAACAGATGGGATTATTCTTATTAGTGAGTACTAATTAAATAATTCCGATTTCAAGAAAACCATCTATTTAAATCGAATAAGCAAATTAAGCAATTATTTAATTTTATTTAATCAGAGAAATGGAACACTGAATGAAGTTTCAACGATCTACACCGGTCACACTGGAATGGATAAATTTGGACTTCTCGACCGAATAAACGGAATGGACGAGTTGCCATTTTGGAAAGGTTCACCTTGTAATTCCATTAGAGCATCTGAAGGTATTAAAACATTAATAAATTAGTACCACAATTTATTGATTCAAATTTCTATTTAACTGGAATGATTGTCTAATTTTATAGGTTCGTTTTTTCCTCCGAGAGAGATAACAAAGTCTGACATAGTGCATATTTACGACAAAGATTTGTGTCGAGTTTGGGCCCTAAGATATCGCAAAGATATAGTCAAAGACGGCGTGACAGCTGGATACTACACGCCTGATGATAATTTATTAGAAACTTCTGCGGTTAATCCTGATAATAAGTGTTTTTGTGAGGATAGTACTGATTGTACCATTAAAGGGTTACAATACATTGGACCATGTCAATTCAGTAAGTAGATTTATTTAATAAGTAAAATACTGGTGCTCACTTCAGCTATGGTCAATTATACCTAGCTATCCGATAATATCCAACACAACGCTGTTTTCTTTTCATGTTCTTAAAATGACTTATACTTTAAATAATTTTATAAAAGATCAATTGCAAATTTTCACGATAACACTCAGTCACAGACCAAACCGACTTTCAAATTCTGTCTTTAACCTAATAATTTTAATAACTCTTACAGATGCTCCAGTATACTTATCTTTTCCTCATTTCTATAATGCCGATCCAAAGCTATTGGAGGACGTCGAAGGATTACAACCTGACCAAGAAAAACATGAAACTTTTATGAAAATTCAACAGGTAAAATTCTACTTGTTTTATAAAATATGTGTTAATTAATTTGAAACAAACTATATTCAAAACTATAATTAAATAAAAAAAATTTTTATTTTTTGCTTATAAAAAATTTTTAGTATCCCTAAAATATAAAAGTTTTTATCAATTTATAATTATAAATGTCTAATATTTATTTATTTTTTGTTTCAGAGATTAGGAGTACCCTTAGAGGCAAGAGTTAAGGTTCAGCTTAACTTAAAAGTTGAACAATCAAATATTTACCCTACATCCAATTTTAGGAGTATAGTTTTTCCAATTATGTGGCTTGAAGAGGTAAATAATACATAATTTATATAATATGCACTAAATTAAGATTTGTATAAAGCGCCTCTTATTCAGGCCTAACTAGCAGGGTACACTTGCTCCGTATTTTCCATGAGTAAGTTACATACGTATATGTCTTAAATCCACGGGTTTTGTGTTTTACACGAAATAATAATGAGAAAAAAATTAATTTATTCATAATTTCCTTAGCATCTTTTATTCAACGATTTGGAGCGGCCCTATATCACGATTTGACACCAGTGTCGACTAAATGATCAGTTGTGCCACACCACTTCTCTAAAAAAAATTAATTTTGTAATTAATTAATTTTATAAACTATAACGCTGAATCAGCTCTTTTAAGAGCTAGTATTCTATAATTCACTGTATTAAAAAAATAAATACTATAACAAATAACAAATAACAAATCAAGACTTGAATAACGCTATAAAACGCCAAAAAACGATAGAACTGTAAAATAATAAACGTCAAAAATAACGATTTTTTCTGTAATATTATTAAACAAAATAAATTATATGTAAAATGATAAAAAAATTATATATATAACGTGAATGAATAACTTTTGTACGATATTAAAATTAATAATTAAATAACTGACATTAAGAGTAGTGTAGAGGTTAAAAATGATAGATAAGGTAGCTAAGAAAAACCATTGAATTTTTCAAAACATCAATTTATTTTTGATGTAAAATAAATAACAAAAATTAGAAATTTTGTAAAATGATTTTAAATAATAAAATATTCTCATAATGTTAAATAAAATAAAATTTTAAGGATTTAAATATCAAAAACTTTAAACATATCAGATATAATTAATATTTTACGTATTAGTAAAAAAAACGTTTAATTACCAAATCGTAACCAAAAAATTGCTTTGAAACTTATAACATAAAAAAGAAACATTTTTATATCAAGATATACTATAAACCTGGAGGTTACTTTAAATTTTATTAAAAAAGTTTTAAAGACCTATTTTAAGATTAAATAAAAACAGATAGGTTAAGATATTTGAATAATAATCAAAGTAAAAATGTATAATTTAAATGTTATTATTTTTATTGTGAAAGGGTCCGCCCTGTAGGTAATCTTTAAGACCAAATACTGTGTAATTGAAATTTTTCAAATAATATTTTAATGGCTTATGTTAGTATCATACAAGGTTTTTTTTTTAATAACTTGTTTTTACACAATATAGTAAATATTTAATTGAGGTGTAATAAAACATGTTCATTTTTAGGGTGTAGGAGATTTACCAGAAAATATACAGCGTTGGATATATTTAGCCACTACTTTTGTAGATACGGCTGTCCCTTTATTCACTTATGGATTAATACTTGGAGGTACATTAATACTTGTAACTGTATTTGTTCGTACTTATCATCAAATAGTATTTAATCGTGAAAATATTGAACGGGGTACCCAGAGAATATTAAGAAGAGGTAGCAGTATTTTGATCAATGGACAGCAAAGATTGCTTATTGTGCGAGACTCTTATCATCGATTAAGTCAAGGTATACAAGAAACTGATGTAGATGCTCAACAACTATTATCTCCCGAATAGTTTGAACAGTTATCGTACAATTAATTGAGTGAACGATTATTTGGGGTTTTAAAATAAATAGTGAAAATCATGCAAGGTATTCAAATCAAATTATATGAATAAAATGTAATGATTGATGATCTTTATATTTGATAAACCTCTTAACTGTGATATCAGCAACAATAAAAAAAATTCGTAAGACACTAAAACAAAAGAATTTCTTGAATCAGACTGTGATACGAATAATTTTATTTAGATGAAAACAATATTTTTTTAATTTTTATATTATATTATGAATAAGAAACAAAGTAAATCAAACTTCAAGATTATAATATATTAATTTATGAATCCATCGTTTTTTCGATTGTCTTTATTCTTAAAGAAACTTTTTATATTATATTAATTAATTTTTATTATAAATAATTTTTTTTTAATGTAAATATCTTACATTTTTTGACATTTACGTATATATGTCAAATTGTAAGCATTTTGACATGCTAACTTAAACCATACGCGTGTACTATAATGTTAGTAAATGTATTAATTTAATTTAAATTATTAATGGTTCGTATTCAAATTATAGTAATATAAAAAATTTGCAATACAACCTTAAAATGGAACCAAATGTTAAACGATAATATCTGTATATTTAAAAATTTTCAGTATTTTACTTATTATTATACAAAATTAGTTTTAAGTATTAGTATAATTTTGTTATAATTGTACATTAAATCTATTTGTTGTACTACGTCCATTCATATGTACTTTTCACTTCATCATAATACAATTATCATAAAATTGAGTAACAAATTTTTAAAAATTCTTAAAAACATAAAAGCTCAATTGAAAATTTAAATTAATAATATAGTTATTAAAAATATTGCACACCCATATTGCTCAAGTAGGAAATCAAATTTGTTGAAAATGTTTATCATTGTTACCATATGAATATTAAAGATAAGAGTTTAGCATTTTTTTTATTTGTTTATTTTATTAAGAATTATATTTTTTAAGCCAATAATTTTTTATGTATGATTTGGAACAGTACTTCAATATGTTTTAGTAAATGTTTTCCTGCAATAATTATCGTACCAAACGTTTTTTGTTTTCACCGTGTATTTCATTATTTCAATTTTTTGTATAGATAAATTTAAGGAATGTAATTTAAGTATAAATTGATAATGCACTTCGGGATAATAAAATATATATTCGACATGACATAAATTCATTCAAATTAGTGATTTTTTATATTTATTAAGTGTATTACTTAAAACTTCATTAGGGTATTAAAAAAACATTGCAATATTATTTTGATATTAGGCGTACATCTAATTGCATCATTTTCACCATGTTGTCCCCATTTGGTGTTGACTTTGTTCATAGAAACTATGGAATGAAAAACAATTGCACGGTAAGTTAAGTGTTCTGTACCTTACAAAAAACACAAATGCTGATCGAATAGAATGTTTGGTACGTTTATTTCGAGTAAAACAATTTGTAGACATAAATTCATCGACAGCAATTTTTATACAAACATTAATTTAACAAAATAATCTTAGTATCGAACATATACATATATTTCTTATGGATAGTTTAACTAATGTCTAGTTAATGCTACATTGATGAAATTTGAGTTAGGGACAGAAGTGATTATAGTAGACGTGTGAAAAATTAATTTGTTCTTAGTTAAAAGTAACAATGATTTAAAGAATTCATGTACCTAATACTATACAAAAATTATTGCAAAAAGGAGTTTACTACTATATATATTGTTTAAAATATCGTACTATTTCCCTTTATATAAAAAGGGTACAAAACATTTAATATACGTAAAAGTAAAATTTTGTCTACATAATTTTTGAAAATCTTTCAAAAACTGTTCTCTTTAATCATATGTTAAATTAAAGCTTATGTTATGTACTATAAGTTATAAAAGAAATATTATTCTGACAACTTATCTTCTATACTTTAATGACTCCCAATTTAATAAAAAATATTATTTTGGTGTAAAAAATCATCATATTAATACACATATTATTAAATAGTCCTAGAAATTCAAAGTTCAAAATATAATATGACTCGGCATTTTCGGACCATTTTCAAAACATAATTTGAAAAAGTTAATTTTTCGCAAAAAGTTGTTATTTTTAATGTCCCCTGAGTGTGACTAAAGGGTCCGATTTAAAAAAAATGTATATCAAATAAAAGGGAAAAACCTAAGGTATATAAAATAGTTCATTTTGAACGAGTTGGATCATGGTATAGTTGAAACAAGTATAGATAATATTAACAGTGATTAAAATCACTATCATTAGAGGACGCTCGATGTAAATCTGTAAATAGTGTTTAATTTTAAGAATTTGGTAGATTATTCCAAAAGCAATATAAATTCCAATTTCATTAATTAATAGCAAAATTAACTTTTATTTCATTCATCATTTCTAATTAGTAGTTCTTTGAATTATATACTTTTCTAGATTATTTTTTCGGGCTAATTTCAAATCTACAACTAGATTTTTTCTATCACCTCTAATTATGTATTAACTATGCCCTAAATTAGTTACACAATTCATACAGTTAAAGATATGCTTAATACAGCTTATTTGAGTACTTTTTATTAACACCCTGCATGTCAAAAAATTCACAAATTTTTTTAAATATACTGCTAGCTGACCGTCATTTATAAGAAACTTAAATATATTTTCTTTTTTAAAAATTTATTTTTATAAGATAACATACGAATACATTTATTTTTTTACTATTTTAAAATTCAATATAAATCTATGAACAATCATTAATTGTTACAAATTTTAGATCATAATATTAATTATAAATAATTTATTTATTTACTTTATGATCCAAAATAAATAAAATAATAATTATTATAATACTTATTTATACAATTAAATAAATATAGTGTTCTTAAAGTATTAGTTAAACTCATATAAACAAAAAAACAGCACCGATATTTCTAGAAACCTTTAAATATTTCAACCAATAAACGCTATAACAAATTTTTCTAAAACTAGTACTTAGTTAAACGTTTATAATTATACAATAAAATATTTTATAATTAGCTTAAACAAAAACTATTAATTGTTCTAATATATCCGTAGAAACAAAATGAACTTGTCAACAATTCACGTATATGTTTTTATTTCAAAATTTGTCAGTTCGTTTCCTTAACTCAACATTTTTGTATCAAATTGTGAATTTATATATCAAAGTCGCTATAATGGGAAACATTTTTTCTTCTAAGTCTATTAATTTAGAACAATTAGAACAAATAAAACACGATGATAGTGAAACTTGCGATATTTTAAACAAAAAGAAGAATAAACTTGGTTATAAAAGGAACGTCATAAATTAAGAAATGGATCAAGACATTTTCACATTACTCGTACAACCAACTCCAATGTTTGTTATAAAAACTCGTGTGGGCGACATTTACGCAAAATCCCATGTAAGAGTTTTTATAAACGTTTGTTATAGTAATGAAATTGAAAAAGCATAATGCTCCTTTGATATTAATAAAAACGATTGATATATTCCAAATTTCATTTCACCAGGTCGATATGTAAATGATTCAAAAAATAATATGAATTGCATTACGACATAGTTTTTCATACTGATTTTGTACTTTCAACTGTCCTGAATAATGACTTTAAATATTTTGTCAAAGATGCAGCTTTGAATTTTATTGAGAATAGTAAAATATTGTTTTAGATAGAGATGTTATTAATTACTCTAAAAATAGTGTATTCTGTGAGGTTAAGCCGATTAAAATTGAACTATTAAATAACATACAGAACGTTAGATATTTTATTTTTATTCTTCAAGATAGTTCTACACAGACACTTGATTTGGCTAATCTCGAAGTAACACCTTCGTTTATTATACTATTGTATACAATCAAATTTTGTTCAGGTGGTAATTTTCTTGATATCAACGAAAAAATGCTTAACTCAATGTCAACTTTGAATTTGAAAGAATTTATTATTGAAATTTACTTACCATTACTAGAAGATTCTAAAACATTGACTTAGAAATTTTAGACAATGTTTTGAAATTAGTTTCTACAAGTCCTGCATGTTATAAGCTAAATATTAATATACCGAGCTTCGTTTCAGTAAATAATGCTATTGGCGTATTTATTACAGATGAGAAAAAGCCAATCACGTGTCTTATTTGTAATTATTTGTAATTATCCTCAATATTACTTGTAATTTTGAAAGTTTAGTTACATAATCTTCAGACAAATTATTGTTTAATAATACGAATGATGAAAATACTAACTCATTTTTTATAACAACCGATAGCAAAGCAAATAATACTTTTAAAGATGACATTTGTCTTCACAAACCTAATATGAAATTTACTGTAAATAGAACCTTATTGCCCGAAAATAATTCTGAAAAAAAGGCAATAAAAATGCAGAATTTGAAATCCAGAGTATTGTTTCTGTTAAGCCCAACACACAGATGAATTACTGCAATCAATGTCCAAGAAAATAATGCTTCTAATGGCATTCATTTTAGTAAAACTGATATGAAAAACATTAAGAGCCGAACACTTTTGTCTAAGCGTAAATCAAAAAAGTATTTTATAAAAGTACCAAATCTAAAGTTCAATATATTCTTTCTGTTGTTTATTACAATACAGCCAGCATAGTAAGCTTTTTCAACAAATAAAATACTTATAATTAGATAACATTTTTTTTTCATATCATTATAAATTATTTTATTTTATATATGTATTACTGACTATGTGTTAAATTGATTTTTGTAGAGAAGAATTTAAAAAAAAAAATTGCAGACTGTAAAATTAATTCATCAGATAGTATAAACAATAACAAATCTTATGATTCTTATCAAAAAAAGTCTATTCGATTTCATAAAAATGCCGTCGTTAAAGAATTTAAATATGCTTAAAATTGTAATTGATACTTGGGTGTAAGATTTTTCATAAAAAAATAGTTTAATGAAAAGAATTTCATTGAATTTTTTTCAGTTGTAATCTGAGCTTGACAAGGCAAGTCACAAATTATCAATGGCATCGAGAATACAAAGTTGGACAAAATATTAAATAATCGTTTATGTAAATTATATTTTTAATTTTCATTTGTTAATTATTATTTAAAAAGTTTTATTTTAATTTATTTAGATTGTTAAGTTTTGTTCTAATAAAAATTACTTATGTTTAAAATGCATTTAGAAATGTTTTATAAAAAAATTTGGTAATTCCGACTAGTTAACAGCGTAAACGTTAACATTTCTGATGAGATTTTAATAAAACATATCGCAGTCACGTAATTAATTCATTATATGATTTCATACAAAGAGAATAATAATAAATTATTGGTTCCATAAGATCATTTTTTATAAACAATGTATGAAGCGTGAACTAATCATTCCTGTTTTTTTATTTTATACAAGTATAAACTACTAAATGTTAAATATATTCCGCAGAAGCTACAGCTATTTAAACGGCAATTGACATTATTAATAACACAGGAAATAATAAGTCTATCATACATGTATTAAACGACTCACTAAGCGATATCATAAATTTACAAAATATTTTCAACCTTGGCGACATCAAGATAAAAATATTCAACCAAAAAAAAGAAAATGATATAGCAATAGTTTTGGGTACCCTGTCAATGTTACGTACTATAAATTAAAAAAAAAAAATTTGTCCCGACACCTTATCTTCAATATGCAAACGGCTGCCATAGTTAAAAAAAAATACTATTTTTGTGTTAAAATTTTCTTTTTTCGATCTTAAATTTTCAATTTCAAAATGTTATAACTTTTCAAATAATATATGTATCAACACAAATTTTTTTTTTCTGATAACCTTATATATACCTATTTTATTTGCCATACTTTTTAATTAAATTGGACAATTTCCCTTTATACAGGGGGCGTTCAAAACTTGAAACATACGTATAAAAAGTAGAACTTTTTCAATTTTATTTTTGAAAATGTTCCGGAAATACTGATTCCTTTAAACATTTGTCAAATTAAAGCTTACAATAAAAACTATAAGTTCAAAAAAAAAAAACTGTCCCGATAGCTATGAGAAAATGGCCGTCGAATTTAACGAAAATGTAATNTCCCGATAGCTATGAGAAAATGGCCGTCGAATTTAACGAAAATGTAATTTGTATGTAAAAATCAGTATTTTACATAAAATATTTT